GTTATCAGACTACACTCCTCCTAGGAAATCACAGCAGAGATGCAAGAGGTATCATTGCACAGCACAGGTTAAAACATATCAAGGAGATATATCACTTACTGACAACCATGATACACTTTTTGTAAAAAGTTTTAATAGGTAGAACAGGAAAGGCAGAACAAGAAATATCAAAATGAGAACTATATACAACATGAAATATAAAAAGGTTGAAAAAAGAATTATATGCAGTACGAATAGGAAAACAAACTATATACATATTATTGGCCACCAGCATCCCCCCTCTGGTGGGTTCTCCTGAGGCCTGCCAGCATCCTCCAAGGCCCCTAGGCACTGGTGTACGGCATCCACTGTTAGGGGAAAGGCACATTGGTTAGTTTATATTGCTGGACTTTAAAGAGGGTACAGTGGGTGGAATACCTTAAAGAAAACATTCATCTTTTACGCATTAGCTGGCCTGCATTTCAGCCCTCATTTCAGCCCGCATGGACTCAAGGAACTCCACTATGTTGGCATTCGCTGGTGGGCCAGCATCCTCCAGGGCCCCTAGGCGCTGGTGTACAGCATCCACATGGTCACCGGTGACCGTTCTCCCCCTTTTGAAAATACAGAAATGATCAATAGATACATGAACACAGGGAGCTTCTTTGGTGCATCCAATTCGCTTCCATCCTCTTAGAATGGAAGAGGTTCTCATGGCGCACAGGCTTGGGTAGTATCACACCTTAAGACCGAACCTGGAACTTTCAGCATGGACTGAACAGGCTGCCCTAGCCTGCTATGTCACCTTCCCCTCACTTGTGACGAAATGGGGAACCGCCCTCAGCCCTGGGAGACTGAGCAGCCGTTCTGTGGCTCACAAGTCCCTGTTTTCGCCTGCCCACACTGCCTGGTAGGGCTATTTCCCTTTGTAATTTGCTGCCACTGCTCCCTGAATTCACACCGCCTTCCTAGAGGAACAGTGAGATCCCTCTGACTGATTCCCCAACCCGGGAAAGTGGGTACCACAATCTTTGGGCACCCCCTGGAGAGTTGGCAACCCCTCTGATGTGGGCCCTTTTAGGTTCCCTGTTCTCCTTTTTGCCTCTGGTAACGTGCTGAGTGGGGAGGACCACGTGGTCAGGGCACGTCAGGTCTTATAACTCAAAAAAGGTTTATTTTAACTACATACAGGTTTGGCACAGTGATTATCAGACACACTTTAACACAACCGGGCACAGAAAATAAACAGGATGAAATCACAACTCCTCTGTCCCTACACACACCTCTCTCTACCTCTGGGGGGCTGTGGGCCTCAGGGTGGGATTTGCTTTCCCCCCTACTTGTTGTTGTTGAGAAACTCCAGCCCTCCTCAGGACTGGTCACCTGTACTGCTGATGGATGCTTACCAAGTGCTGCAGCTCCCTGCGCAGGCTCTTCCTCAGGTTGCCCTGGCTGCTCTTCCTCTTGTATATCTGCATGGATGACCAGTTCAGAGCAGTGAATGGAGTGACCAGTATTATTTTCCCCAGATGTCCCATCCACTCACC